CTCTCTCTCTCTCTCTCTCTCTCTCTCTCTCTCTCTCTCTCTCTCTCTCTCTCTCTCTCTTGCGTGCTTATTTCAGGGCGCCGACGAGTGCGGGAACCACAATAGAAGTGGCTCCGCAGTCGGACAATCACACGGCTACCGCTAATTTCAACAGCACTCGATCCCTCCGAAAGACTCACGTCTTGCTGTTGCTCTGTCAATCTTATTCCGTCTATCTTGCCAACCGAAAGGTCATGGTGCCTTTAACCGAGGTGGCTTTCATGCACGGGACTGTTGCTGGCGAGAGCGTCATGATGGGTTTGGGACAAGACTATTTCGTAGAGAGGTCTCCTGAACAAGCACGGGAAGTTCTGCGCAGAAGAATGGCAGGTGTGCATCCGAAATACGATGTAGTCTGAGCGTGTAGCTCGACTCGAGTAGTCAGCGTGGGTACTGTCGTACAGGCAATATGTTTGCATCCATCCTTCCCTGACAGAGCGCCCTTTCGCCATTCATGTTGAAACCTCCTAAATGATGATGGGGGGGTGTGGGTTACACAGCCAATGAACACACGGGCGACGACATTGTGAACGGTAGTTTCATTTTCGACGTCTACACATCCAGCGGATCGAAACCCATTGCCATATTCTCGGTTGCAGTCATGCGTACCAATCGCAGAAACGCGGGCACCGTGTGTGCAGGTCAAGCGGGATAGATTGCTCCGTCCATGCAGGACATGAATCCATCCGGGCTTGGTCAAGGTCTCCGCGACCGGCCCTATTCGTGGGATCTGTGGCAGGGGCAGTATTTTACACCCAAGACCACGAACGCAGCGCTGTCGTTCGCCAGATGGTGAGCGCGATGAGTTGTTAAGATTTCTTGCTGCTACTATGTTGTTGATCAGATCTTTCGGAGCAGGCGCGAGTTCTACGGGAGGGCACGCTTCTGGCACCCAAAGAACCAGCGAAATCGGTACAGGGACAAAGGCGCCAAAAGAAGGACGATTCCGAAACCAAAAAGACGTGGGCCAAGGGCTTCTTGTCGTCCAAAGGAAGTGGCGGACCCACGAAGGGCCGTCTACCTCCAAAGGTACGTGCTGGAACACCGTGCGTGCTGAAGCAATATGTGCGCTCACGTCTAGTCCAGCAAATGCATCGTGCAACTTCAGCTTCAAGTAGGCCACACGTCGCCGCTGCAGACAGAACGTGTCGATTTGGAGACAGGAGGTCGGGAACCAGCGTGTTCTCGACGAAGGTGCGGAGCCAATTGAGTAATCGTGCACAAGGTGTTGGCGAGAACGTGTCGTTTGAAGTTTTTTTAGCGTGGGTTGCCTTTCTAAACGGTGGTGCAATGTGCCCCTCGGGCACGTTGCTTACTTCTCTCCCAAAAACGCCATTTGCTTTTGTGCCGCTCGTGCGACAGCGTGAGACGGTTTCCCCTAAAGAAGCCAAGGAAGCTGCTAACGAGGACTCTTCGCGCACCCCAACCGAGATTAAGTTCGACGACTCGGAAGGCCAAGAGGTATCGTGCGAAGGTAGATGGACGACGAAGTATGCGGCGGTATCAATCAGCGCGCCAATAGTGTACGGCCACGCGTGCCCGAACTGAGATATGAGTAGGCGTCCTGAGCCGAAAGCCCTCCTGACCACTTTTGACAAAGGTTTGTGTATTGATCGAGCCTCATGAAATGCTTTCTTTCGGTGTTGCTGCCCGTGTTGGCTGTATCGGTCCTGCTTTCGTCCTGTTATTTTTGTTCTGGATCGTTGGAATGCCTGCCTGAGCACACCAGTTAGGATCAGTACGCCGAGTGCAGATTTCCAGTCCACCACAGGCCGACTAGGTGGTGCAGCTATTGTCGTCTCCAGGTAGCGTTACATATAGAGAGCCGGCGGGGAATGTCTACCCGCCCTTTGGCTCGAACCGCTGATGTAGCCGTTACCGCTTCGTCCATGGAGATGGTTTGCCGTCGATCAACTTCACTGACTGGTACACGTTTTTTTTATGTTCGGCAGCACGTCGTGGAGGTGAGGGATGGACAAGACGCTCCCATTATGGAGATCAGGGAGTGGCTGGATGAGTCAGGGAATCAGACCTCTGTTGATGTCACTGACCTTGGCAAGGTGAGAGGACTACCGTCCGATTGTGGCGGTCAACTTCAGGCGTTGTAAAGAGTACCTCCCCAAGCTGCTTGCACCCTTCGCGCTGGTTCTACTTTCAGCGGCACAATAGCCTTACCGTGTCCGGTCCGACGGTTTCACAGTTTCATCGTGGTACATGTACCGGCCTCCGTCTTGTGCGGGAATCACATGGACCCAACTTATTTTTGCTGGCACTCACAGTCCATCTCGGTCGTTGTCCCTCCCCGCTCTCTCTATCCCTCTCTACAAATATATCTCGCTCCGCCTCCTCTCTTTCTCTCTCCCTCCTTCGCTCTATCTCCCTCGCCCCCTCTCCTTCTCTATTGGGCATGCGGCGTGACTAAAACACGTCGACGTCGCCTTCATGCCCTCTGGTAACGGTTTGTGCAGGTCCTGGGCACGACTCAAAAGGCTGTCAAGGCGGGATCGCAGTCGGTGGCCAAGGATGCTAGCAGGAGCACGCCAAAGAACGTAGCCGTAGCCTCGCCACCCAGGCCGGCGGACGACACGGCTGTCGGAACAAGCGGGGCATCTGACCTGGACAGTGTGCTCGCGAGGCTAGAAGCACAAGAGGCGAAAGCTGAGAGACAAGGTAGACGCCTTGTGCTGTGCGTGTGTCTTGTACCAGCACACCTGCTCTACATGTATTTTTTGAGCTCACGTGCTCTGGTGCTTACGGCCGAACAGAAAAGGAAGTTACCTCGAGTGCCACTGCTGTCCGTTCTGGTGTTCCCGTAGCGCTTCTAAATCGGGTACTGCCTTCCCCTCTCGCTCGCTAAATTTTCGGCATCACCTACGCCGCAGCTTCGAACCCGGCCCTTGGTCCCAACTGGAAGAAGGGCTTCTTGGACGGTGGAGCTAAAACCTCGGCTCCACAGCCTTCCGTAGCAACCCCAGATATCCGAGAAATTAGATTAGACAGGACGTCAGGTCCAGCAGTGCCACGGAGCGGTGGGACGACGGCTTTTCGAGAGTCGGTGGTTGAAAAGCCGAACGCCGGTGTGGGTCCCGTGTTGGTAAGTAACAAGGCGACACCCAATACTGCTGCTGGTTCTGCCATACATGTGCCTCCTCCGGCACGAGTGTCGCGTTTCAAAGCCCGGAGACAAGGCCTGTAGCGCCAAGACGGCCCATCTGCAGTTTGCCGTTCTCCCGATTATGACTGCCAAGTGGTCCAACGTGAATTGCCCCAGTACCGTTGTAGGTCTTGCGAGCGTTCGGAGGGCCAAATAGAACCTGCTGCTGCTCAGGATTAGTAACGTGCACCTCGTGTTGCATTTTTTCTGTCGACATGGGCAAGGAGATTGATTATGAACTGTTAAGTATCATTCTCTCGCGTTTTTGCAATGTCTGGTGACTGGCAACGTGTATTGCGTACACTAGGGGAAGAGGGGGTGCAGTAATATTGTTTGTTGCGCCCTTCCTTCGTTTCATGCTTTCACGTTTCTACTTCTGCCCCTCAAGATGTCCTCGCCACGTGGTTTGACCAGAGGTTTTTGGCGTTCTGGACGGTGATAATGCCGTCTGAGTTAAAAGTTGGGTGTCCCTACTGTACATTGATACGCAACTCGTTGTTGCTGATCGAAATAAGTCCCGCCGGGTTTTCAAGGGTAATGTAGTGAGGCGAACGTAAGACACCTTGAGATCTCAAAGCTGCACAACATCTGCACAGCACGAAAACGGCTTCGTTTTTCATGTACTTGCTATGCCTACCTGTGAACCTTCTCCAGAGAGATTGATCATGCGAGCAACGTTTGGGCGAATTGAGACGTCTGTTGGGTGTGCATGATGAGCACCGTGCTCGGACAGTGTCACATCTGTTTGTGCCCGACATGCGCCACATCTCCGGGGCAGTACAAACAGCCGCATTAGATACCCGAAAGAAACGTGTTGCATCCCCGAAGGAAGAGTCAGGAATCACCAAGGTACGAGCCTTGTAAGTTTCCATCTTCACACACTTACACTTCCGCTGGCCATGCACAAGCCCTACGCGCAAGTCATATTAGATGTCCAAACACAAAAACCCGTGTGTATTCGTTCTTGTCGGTGACACGCTCCATCCGGGATTCGAACTTCTAGCCCACACGGTGCGCTGTGTCAAATGCAACGATGCTTGAAAGCCTCTCGAGACTCGTTCGAATTCGACTCTCCTCAGAACAACCCCAAGACTCCAAGATAGGCACTCTTTTGTGGTGGCCGCACCGTTGCATACACAACTAAATGAGTTCGATCGCCACAGAAACAAATGTTGAATTCGGGTCGTACGGCCGTGCCGGCTGATGGCGCAATGCACTCAATCGCACCAGGGAAAGACATCTTCCAAGCGAATTTAATGCAACCAACACAGCAGGCGCTCCAACATCTTCCAGGTAGACCAAAAGTCATACCGCGGTACACTTACACTTGTCCGCCTGTGCGATAGAGCCCGCCATAACATGAATCCCTATCTCATCCTCGACACAACCAGGTAATGTCAACAAAATCTCCGAATAAAAACAACTACGTGCAAAGAAATATCCAAACAACTACAGCAGCGCAGGCAGGCGAGACACTGCTGCTTGCCCTCTGTTCCACCATGACACAGAACAGACAGGTACAAAGCATGGCGGCAAGCGGCTCACACTACAGCTCGCCCGCGATTCTACCGGTAACGTCCCCGATATCCTTGTGGGTGTCGTCCCAGAGGCAGTGGAACGTTCCCTCCTTGTCGACGCGCTCGTAGGTGTGCGCCCCGAAGAAGTCGCGCTGGGCCTAAACCAAAACAACACAAGACAAAGCACGTGGTGCATAACACAGACGACGGCGAAAGAGCGCACTCGTGACTCCCTGGGCGACGAAAATACATGAAAAGTAGAGCGTGTGCATGAAAGTGCGTCAAATGGCATATCGCTGACCATCCGAACCACCTGTACAAGGGGATCGACTCACCTGGACCAAGTTGGCCGGCAAGCGGGCGCGGCGGTAGGAGTCGAAGTAGGAGAGGGAAGCGGTCATGGCCGGAGCGGCGATCCCGCTGGCAACGCACAGCGTCACCACGCGCCTCCAGGCCGCCTGGCGCTCGAGGATCTGCGCCGTGAAGTCTGGGTCGACGAGGAGATTGTCGAGCTCCGGGTCGCGGACGTAGGCGCGCTTGATGTCGTCGAGGAAGGCCGCTCGGATGATGCACCCGCCCTTCCAGATGCGGGCGCACTCGCCGAGGTCCACCCCCCACTCGAAGTGATTGGACGCACTCTTGATGAGGTTCATGCCCTGTCGATCGAACGCGCGGCGTGTGGCGGGGACGGGCAAGTTAGCACCGATAACAGCAGGGGCGCGCTCGACGATCCAAGGTTACACCATGGTTCTTGTTCTTGATTTCGAAAAATACCTTATTGTCTGCCCCGCCTACAAACACGGAGTACACTATTCGCGAGAAAGAAATCACACAGCAGTGATCCAAACTATACAGTGAGGGTGCTTGTCGCTCCGTGTCTCTGGTGCCAAACACATAGGCACATTAGAAATCGTGCTCGCGTTTTTTTATGCTATAAAGACTTACGTGTTTTCATTGGTCAACCGGTTAGCGCAGTCGATGCCAGCTCGACCGACACACATACCTGTGCGTAGGAGCAAATCTTGGAGCAGTAGAGGGCGGCCTTGATGTCCTCCACCAGCTGCTCCTTGGACACCTTCGGGATGTCGGTGGGTCCCGTGAGGGTCTTGGCGGCTTCCACGCGCTCGGCTTTGCGCCCGCTGATGTAGCGGGCGTCGAGCGCCGCGGACATTGTCGGGGCGGCGGTGCTGCGTTCGGCCGCCTCCTGGATAGTCCACCGGCCCGTGCCCTTCATGCCTGCGCGTCCAGAGGGTACCAGAGAGGTGTTTTGAGAGAAAGGTTGCCGGTGCGGTGGTCGTGTATGTCTGCGAATGTCTTGCTTTGTACCAACTAGGAACGAGACATTACAATTGACAGCAGTACTCCTACGAACGCAAAAACGGTCTAGCTCGTTATTATTCGTGCCGGTCTTGTCGAGAATCTTGTCCACGACGTGCCCGCTGTCCGTCAGATCGTCCTTCCGGGAGAAGATGACCGCCGTGATCTCGATCAAGAAGCTCTGTCGCAGAAAAAGCGCCCGTCGTCGAAAAACAAGGGAAGGAGGGGCGTTTCACATCTTCACATCACGCTAGGGCTGCGAGCAAAAAGGGTACAATAGCCTGATGTGCTGATTCTCGACGCGTTGACGTCTAGGTACACAGCAGCGTATGCACTTGCGCGTACCCTACTTCTGAGGGCGAGAGAAAAAAGTCGAAAACAATACAGACAGCAACCAGATTCTTCTTAGGCAATAGACTTGCCGCGCTACTGTACTATAGTATCCCTGTCTCACCTGCAGTTCTCCCGTGTTCCAGTCCCCGAATGTCGCAGCAAGCTCATCATTGTCCATTCCAGCAACGTGCTTGAGTACATCGTACACCTGTCGAAGGAATCACGCAGTGGGTGGTTGGATAATCGCACTTGTGAGAGCAGCGGTGGTGACGCTTATCTAGGCGGACAGCGTGGCCTGAAAACAATTTGCTCGGGCTGTACCGTACATGTTTGTGGTTGTTCGTTGTTGTTGTATCACAGGTGGTGCAAGTGGGTATTCCATCACTTTTCTGGACTAGATCCTCATGAAAGCAAGTAATTGATACCTTCCAACCCAAGTCTAAGCAAAGGTCACCTCAGCAATGAGCTGCATGTCTCCATACTCGACACCGTTATGCACCATCTTGACGTAGTTGCCGGAGCCGATGCTGCCAAGGTAGGTGGTGCAAGGCCCGTCGTTCACCTGACCAACCGACGGCAAGGCACAAAAAGCACACGCGGAAACAATTACTCCAATTGCAGCAGCAGTCCAATAGCCGCACACTCACATTTTACAGCAAGTCGGAGCAGCAAAAATGGGGCAAACCGCAGGGGGGGGGGGTGTACTTATAGTCGTGCATGCCGTAGGCGTTAGACCGTGGACCTCGTATCCCTACAAAGCCGGGACGGAGAACGCCGGGTTTTCACCGGATCAGGCTCTCACATCACCAAGCGCGAAGCGCCGTGAGGTATTTGGGGAGTCGCATGTAAGGCGCAGGAGGGGGGGGGGAGGGATGGTGCACCCTGAAAACGTTCTCACCTGGGCGGCGCACTTGGTGATGATGGGGGCAAGCGCGTCGAACGCCTCCTTAGGCCCGCCCGGCATGAGCGAGGGGCCGTTGCGGGCACCCTCCTCCCCCCCGGAGATGCCCATGCCCACGAACATGATCTTCTTGGGCTCGAGCTCCTTCGCGCGGCGCTGCGAGTTCGGGAACCACTCGTTGCCGCAGTCGACTAGTATGTCCCCTTCCTCCATGAACTCGGAGAGGTTGGCGATGGTGGCGTCCACCGCTGTGCCGGCCTGGACGAGCAACATGACCTTGCGGGGCTTGGCGAGGGACTCGATGAACTCCTTCGGCTCCTTGTAGCCGACGAGGGGGAGATCTCCCTCCTCCTTGGCACGCTCGACGGTGGTGTCGACCTTCCCGGGAGACCGGTTGCAGACGGACACGCTGAAGCCGTGGCTGGCCATGTTGAGAGCGAAGTTCTGGCCCATGACCTGAGGTTGTGCATGGTTGATAGGGGAGAAGAGAAGGCACCCGGTGGTATCGTCAGCACGTTTCATAACTTGATTGCCTGTGCGGTCCTTGCCGCCTTGTCTACTCTACAGAAGGAAATACAAATGCAATTCGAAGGTCATGGACATTGGAAGACTTCCATTATTTTTTCCGTGATACTTCGTAAGCCACAACGAATCCATCTCTATCTACAAAGTGTCTAAGATCAATTAAACGATGAATCCATGAATCCAGAGTTTTTTATTCATTTTTTATTTTTCTTGACATGACAAAACGAATCCATCCCCATAGAAAAAGTAGTATTTTTATTCGTTAAGGTTATCTGGGCTCTTCGAGTCAAACACCGTGAACACGGTCTGCTGTCAGCATTTGGGCTTTGTGAAACGTTTCAATTAGCTGCTGGCAGCAATCCGTTGGCTGGTCCTGCTTCCTGCTTGCTTCCTGCTTGCTTCTATATTTTCATCTTGCACCTGCCCTTCATGGCACCACTGCCATGCTATCCTGAGTCAGCTCCGAAGGGATCCCTCGTACTGTAGCATATCGCATTACAGTCGACCCCGCTCTAGGGACGCACATGTTTTTTCCCGAAAAGAGGCGTCCTTAAAGCGGGGTTGCGTCCTTAAAAATTCAGGGAACGATAGCTCCCCACCCCCGTGGTCAATGGAGGCATGCTATTCCTCAAACTACGCGTCTTTTGCTAAGGAACGGTGTGGTTTGAAAAGTCAGCATCGCCGAGACGACTGGCAACCGATTGTTGACGTCGAACACACGTACAATACTTAGAAATGAGATGAACAGCAGTCGGGGACGTGTTGAAAACATCTAAGAAGTTTGTACTTTTCCAACCAATGTACCTTTTCCAACCAATGTACTGCATAGCCGGCAGCGGAAGAAGGAGGAAAGTCCAAGTAGACACAAATTTTTCTCATTCTTGTGAAACAAAAAAACAAAAAGTGTATTTCAGCGTCGCACCGAGGAACACCATCACACAAAATAACTGTCCCGGCGCAGACCAAAAGCTACCCTTGGTCAACATTTCCCTCCACATATCGCAAAGAGTTCCCTGAACCTCCCCCCGCGGCTTGGCTCTACGGCTCTGTTGAGTTTCATGAGTATACGAATGAACGGTCTTCGAAAGAAGGTACAACGCCTCACGGTACTCGCCACCCCTTCCCTTCGCGTACAAATAGGATCGAACGTCCTCCAAGCGAGAGATAACTTCGCCCTCGGTGAGGGACGAGGTTATGCACGACTTTTTTTTGGCGGCATCAGATGGACCGCCGGTAGATGGGAGGAATCTATCCATACCAACACCCAGTTACAGCTGCAGCACCAGACCGCTCGCTACTTGCGCCGTCTGTGCGTCGCTACAGTACTTCTGTAATCACTGTGGTGCGTGGTTCATGCAGAGAGCGGCCTGCAGGACACAAAAGGGGGGTACGCGGCAGAAAAATGGGGGTAGCCCACTATCGTACATTCTGCCGGGGCCCCTGGTGCTCTCAGCATAAAAAGTTTCCTCTAAGCGGGGAGTTTCCTTAACGCGAGCGTCCTTTAAGCGGGGTCGACTGTATGAGGTATCTACAGCAGTATTCAACGAAGGGTTCGCCAACTTCCCGACCAAACAGCAGTGTCGTGCCGGCATTTGAAAGCATGACCCGTATGCATGCACCATCCGATTTGTTCCAAGGTACACATAACTAGACGACGGGAGCGACCCGCCCCCCACATGAGCCGGCAAGTAATCTGTTGTAACAAATACCGTACATGACACAAGATAACACCCCCCTTGACAATTTTTCGAAGCTCGATTTCTCAACTGCAGGAACAGCCACAGCGCCGAAAACGGCGGCGTTGAAACCGTCTCATGGAGAGCTTTTCGAAAATGTATCGTTTCATTTATGCATCCTCTTCGTTGTGGAGTAATCGAGCTTTTAAAATCGGTCCAGGGGGTTGTTATCTTGTGTCATATACGGTAATCAACATTATGTTGCGTCCTGAAGCAGGAATCATGCGTGTTTTCATGCAACTCTCGACAAAACCGCGTTTGTTCGTGCGTATTCCCTCTCTGTCGCACTCGCTCTTGTTCTTGCTGTACTCCGAAAATTTGCAACGTACTCTTGAGGCTGGAAAGACTACTCAAAATAAGAGATTGGCGTTGACCTATTCGAAGGGCTCCACAACGACACACACTGCCGTGTCGCACGTCTATGCTATCTACATACACCAGCTGTGTTGGTACCATACAAGTTTGAATTAGAGCTGGTATGTTGAATTTACATGAACCGGAAGCACGGTGAAAAGCCGGGCAGATCGGCGGTCGGTCGCATGAAAAGAGATAACAACGTTGTTTGCAAGGGTAGATAGCGCACGCCCCCCTTTGGCCACAAGCACACGAAAGGCTCGACCCTTATTGCGATGGCTCTGGTTGTAAAGCGGGATTCATCTTGGGTCCGAAGTCTACACTGAAGCGAACAGCCACAAACAGCTGCACAAGGGATGCGGCTAAACTCGTGTGATCTCTACAGCTTGCAACCATCGTCCGCTCCTCGTTGCAAGTCTAAGCAGGACCAAGGGACCGTCAAGCGTACCAAGGCGGAAACCAACGCTTCGCAACACACGAGGTTGCGACAAAACAACAGAGCCGGCGGCGCCTCGAGCGGACTCGCTGCTCGCCAGCAGACGTAGAAACCACGCCGTTGTTCAGAGGCCCAGGCCGCACGTGCGACCGACTCAGCGAGCACAATCATCTCGTGTCCTTACCGCCAAGCCATAGAGGCCAATGTCGGACAGCGCTTGCTCAGGAGGAGGTGTAGTCGTCATGATGGGTGTAAGGTAGGTCTCTTGGTGCGTTGATTGGGGCAGCAGCAGGCAGCAGGAGGGTTGGGTCCGAAGAGTGAGTGAGGAGCAAAGGTGGGGGAAGCGGGAGCAGGGCAGGAGGCACTAGCGGAACTAGGTTTGGTTCTCATGTTCCGGCACGTCCGGTTGATCGGTACATTCGAAAATCGGGCCAAATGCAAGTATTAATGTCCCGCTTCCGGAAAAAGCAGCCCCATCTAGAAGCATCCCAGCTCAAGCATCCTTCAAACGCCGCTCACAAGACGCCCTCTGGCGACACCCACCCCGAAAGCTGGTCCCAATCACCACGCAACCTAAACGTTGGTAGGTCTCCTTAACGGGCGCACCGACGCAACAGGTGTGAGAGAGATACGTGTGTGTGTGCGGGCGTGTGGAGCCTCGGTGCACTTGCTCGATCCTTGTACATCGCAGCTGCTTCACCTCTGTCTGCGATGGTTCATGCGCGCGTGGCGCGCACGTTTCTAGCTCGATTCTTTTCCATCGCAGCTGCTACACCTCTGTCTTCGATGGTTCATGTGCGTGTGGCGCGCACGTTTCTAGCCACCGGTTGCTTGCCTCTCGTCCACCACGCGTGTACTTGATCTTTGGCTTTTTGTTGCGCGTGATACCCGCAAATAGCTTGTTGAACAGCAGTCGCGAAGAACACTGCTGTGTGTACCGCAGGGCGGAGCCTTGCTTGTAATTTGTGGGAGATCAAGCAGGTGTCACCCCGCAACAAAGGCAAAGGGCAGACGGAAGGCCCTTGCTTGCAGCAGTCAAGGTTCAGCGACATTAGCCGGGACGTCGGTTTGACGAACTCTTTCATTGCCTGCTTTGGATTCTAGTAGTTCAGCAGCGGGCGTTGGGCCTTCAGTCTTGGAAGCACCGCCGTGGCGTCGGGAACGGTATCAACGGGGTAATCTGCTACGAACATGTGCTTGTAGGCTTCCCGTGTTGAAATTTCATCCGAACGTGGGTATCTGAGTGTGATACCCACACACAAGCCCCGGTGGTGTAGTGGGTAGCCTCGCAGCCTGCTAAGGGCCAGGTCATGGGTTCGAGTACCGGCAGAGAGAGTTTTTTTCTCACTCAATAAATCTTGGTCTAGGATGAAAGCGACGCGCTGCAAAGCTCGTTTGTTAGCACACCATAATCGACTTCGTAAGTCGCGAGGGAAGGGATTGCTGTACCCTTCTCGNGCAGAGAGAGTTTTTTTCTCACTCAATAAATCTTGGTCTAGGATGAAAGCGACGCGCTGCAAAGCTCGTTTGTTAGCACACCATAATCGACTTCGTAAGTCGCGAGGGAAGGGATTGCTGTACCCTTCTCGCGATAAAACTACCTCAGGCATGAACCGCAGGAGGGGGTCCAACCCCCCCCTCCTATGTGACCCCGGTTGGGTCGTCTAGCTAGTAGAAGTGGAGGATAGGGGCCAGAGGGGCAGACGACAGAGTCCAATGATGGGAGAAAAACAAAAAAAAACAAAAAACAAGGTCCCCCTGTCTTGTGCACTTGGTCCGCAGTGACACGGTGTGTGCGAAGAGCCCATGATTCTAACAAAACTCGGGACGATTAGGGAAGTGGTCCGCCAGGTCTCCCGATCTTGTCACCACAGCAGTACTGCTTTACCTGCTGTGCGAGTGTATTGTACAACCGTGAGGGATAGTTGTTTCATGGCTAGCGCATCTGGCAAATCTGGCAAACTTGTTGCATGTGCGCAACAGGAGCATGGCTGAGAGAAAGAAGAGCGGGTGCGGATACTTGCAGCACGCGCTCAGCATCGTGGTCGTCGGGGCCAGCGGTGACCTCGCCAAGAAGAAGGTACCTACTGTGCAAATGTGTGCGTCAAGCGCGTCTTGCGCTTCCCTTCGTCCAGGTGTCGAGACGAGATTCTGCCACCACCGCCGAGCAGTCGCAAAGAATCACGCATCTCTTGTCACGTCGATGGAAAGGGGTACCGCAGCAGTCATTGGTGATTGCAAGCTGAACAGTCGCCGAACGCACGTCGTCTTTCATCCTCCCCATCTGGATGAATCAATCCATGGCATATGTACAGTAGCAAACGCGAGGACGGTGACCAGATTGAGGTTCACCCTTGTGAGCCGTAGCCTGGGCCGGCGAAAACGTTCCATCCATGTATTGAAGGGATGCGAGGACAATGGTCTAACGACACGACATGCCCCTAAATGAGTACATCCCCCCCACACATATA